GATTGGGGCATTACCAACAAGAGTTCTTAAAGAGGAATAAAAGAAAAAAAAATGAAGATTAATTAATCTCTCTTCAATTTGTTTTGGGCTTTTGTTTCAGTAACTAGTCCTAAATCCTTCATAACATCGTCTTCAATAGTATCCATCAAACATTTGTCATCATGGTCAATCATATTAATACTGTCAGCAGCACTATTAAAACTACTCACAACACCTGTTATAGCAGCCATTGGATTTGTTTTTCCAGTTGGCATAGCCATTCCCATAGAAGCACTTATATCCATTACGTCATCATTTAAATCAAATAATCGAATGATGTATCTTCCACCAGCAAATATTAAAATGTACCAACTCATACTACTAACATAAGACACATCAAGGTCCATTCCCCCAAGACCTTGTTGAGTAATTAATTTAAATCGATAACTCAATGGGAATGGCATTTTTAAGACAAGAAATCCATCGAACATGTTTCCAATCCATGTCATTAAGACTATTTGAATGATCATCATCACCATATTCCCTTTCATTCCTCCAAGCATACTTGTTGGATCCATTTGAGGCATGTTTGGAACTCCGTCTTCAGTTGGGGCTTTTTGAATCATTAAAATTCCATTTTCAACATCTGTGAATTTAGCACGCAATTTCTTTACTGTAGAAGAGAATAATACAAAGTGTCTTTCACAAAAGAGCTGGGCTTTTTGAAGAATAGTTGCTTCTATATGGTGTGAGTATGTCTTATACCTTTAAAAAATAAAATAAACAAACCCTGTTGAGCACGAGGAGTAAGCTTTTCATCTCCACCTAGATAATTATTTATATAAGTTCGAAGGTAATTAGAACACACGGTAACAATAAGTAAAGGGATCAAAACCCAATCACGAATTTCTGGAGATAATGTGATAAAATTCTGATATGTCAGAGTGAAATTCATTAAATGAATAATTAGATGATTTATTATTTTATTATAAAAGAAACTATACTTTCACCCACAAAAAAGTATTAGCATTGATTAGTTTAATCATCATTACTTTGTTGTTAAGAGTTGTCTGAATAGATAGAAAAGAAAACACAGTTATGAACAAGTTCATGATGAAAGAAAATTGAGTTTTTGTTTAAAGAAAAGGATGAATTAGTTTTAGAGAATCATCTCATAAATCAGATTTTATATGTCCAACTTACGAGCAGATTTTATGAATCAAACAGTCAGAGAAAAACAACAGATATTATCGCAGTTAAGACAAAGTAGGAGAGAAGCTTGTTTAGCTAAAAGACGTACTTCATTTAGTGAAGAAAGTGAAGAAGAGATAATTCAAGGAGGACAACGAAAGTTTATCTATATGCCACGAACTTTAGAAGAAGAAGAAATTACACCAACAGCAATTCGTAAACCAATTGATGAACTAAATAATTTTATTAAAAGACTAAGAGAAGCAAAGGATGATCAGGAATTATTTAATGTATTATCAGAAATTCAAACCTTTGTGCAGAACGGTGCTAACTCACAATCAATACTTATTAAATTAAGTGGATTATTAAATGAGCTCATTTCTCAAATACTAAACCCTGAACCACAAATTGCAATATTAACACTTGAAATATTAAATTCTCTGGCAACCGCCTCCAGTCAAAATGTTGATGATCTTATTGATGAACAAATTATAAATATATCCGCACAAGGGTTATGTTCAAATGATGTACGTGTTCAAAGAATGATTATTCATTTATTAGCTAATATAGCAGGAGACTCAGCAAAAACAAGAGACTTATTATTAGCAAATGCTATTGTTCGGGTAATTCTACAAATGGCTCAATTTTATAAACACTCAATACCAATGCAAATTGATTTAATGTTTTTAATTAGTAATTTATGTAGAAATGAACCATTTGTTGATTTTGAATCAATTAGACCATTAGTACCAATCATTCAGTCAAATATAAATAGTATAGCAAACAGTGTTTGTGTTGATGCCATGTATTCAATATCTTTCTTAGCACAAAACCCTGAAAATTCAGATTTCATAATTCAAAATGGGTTATGTGATGCTGCTCTTCAAATAGTTGATTCATCTAAACACGAATGTCTACCACCATCACTAGAAACTATTAATTGTCTTATTCAACACGGAGATAAGTATTCAACATACATCTTTAATAAAGGATTTATCTTAAAAGTAAAACATTTACTTAAATCTAATTTCACAGATAGTACAGTTATTCATATAGTTTTTGTATTATCCAATCTTGCTAATACACCAAACCAATCAATTATTAAGAGCATTATTAATGATGTACTTTTTTCTATTGTAACATTATATTTAGAGTCTACATCTTTTAACCTAAAAACGGCAGTTTCATGGTTATTTGTTAATATTATATTATATTCTGAAGATGACAATATTGGTAATTTATTAACTAGTAGTGATTTCTTTGAAACTTATGTTAGTATGTATGATGCAAATGATGAGCAATTACTTCTTTTATTATTAAAAACAACATTAAAACTATGTAATTTTGATTATCGTACAAACAGAACATTAAATGTGGTTGACCAATTATTAGAAAATGATATCGACTCTCAGATATCAGCATTAATATCATTAAGTAATATATCAGAAGAGGTTGTTAAGTATGCGAATCTTGTTCAAGGAGCAATACGCTCAGCTGATGCATTTGACGCTTAATTCATTTTTTTGTTATTTAAAAAATATTTTTGATTTAAAAAAAAAATAATATTTGAACTAAGAAACTTAATGTATTTGGCACAAAATTTCCTACGAGACTGTCTTAAAAGAAGTGGAGAACAAGCAATTAAACAACCTTTTTTCTTTATTGATTTTGGAATAAATTATACAACAGATGAAACGTGCGTTCCTATTGAAATATGTATTCAACCATTTACACTAGACCCTAACTCTGCACCAGTCAAACCGTTTCTTCAGATTATCAATGAAGTAGTTCCAAATCAATACCTATTAAGAGCTAAACAACATGCTGATTTTGAGCATGGAATTACACCAGAAAATAATCCATCTCATCCAACTGATTTCTTATTACTTTGGAATACCATTAACAATTTTATTTGGACGTTTACAAAAAAATGTGGAGAGACATTTGTTCCAATAGTTATTTGTCTCTCATTTAGAAGAGGAGTTCAATGTATTGAAAATCTTGCAACTAAAGCAGGACTATATGACAAGATTGGTGAAAGTGGATTTATGCATGCACTTCCATTTGAAGCGTTTGTAAAATTTTTTTATGAGTCACAAGGTAAAGTAGTTCCAATATCAGCAATTCCTAAATGTCTGTGTCCTTTACTTAGTTATATTCCTGAAACAAAGTACAAATGTAGCTTTCATTCAAATATTAAAACACGGTCATTTTGTTGTTGTCAGTCTAATGTAGCATATCTTGTTGGAGAGCTTACTTGTAATTTTAATCCATATAATCAATTTAATATATTACATTCAACGTCAAATGAATAATAAAAAGAATATAAAAATTGACAAAAAAGAGTTTAAAAAATTATAATTTAATTATTGTTGAGTAGATTGATCATCTTTTCGTTGTTTATCAGTTTCTTGTTTAGTTTTTTCAATATCCTTTATCATTTCTAAAACTGATTGGTAAGCAACATAAGCTTGAATAGTAACACCAATTTGGTCCCATTGTTTTTGGTCAATCATCTCATCATTTTTAAAATTTTCATGAACAGACTGATCTCCACATTTAAGCCATTCATTAAATTTGTCAATATTACTTATTTCATTAACTCCTGTTCTTTGAGTTTGTATTTTTTGTTTTAAACTTTGAATTTTATAAGTTAAGTTTTTTATTGCTTCCAATTTATCTATAAGTTCTTTTTCTAAGTTTCCTTGTCCATAACGTTTATTTTCTTCTTCTATCTCATTGACTCGGTTGAAAATTTCTTCTTCTTTAATTAAGTCTAATAACAAAGTTATAGTCCATCCACAATTTATCTTATTAGGAATTAGTTGAACTTCTTCTTGAATCTTTTTTTCTTCCTTTACTTCTTCTTTTACTTTTTTTATTTTCCATTCACTTTCATTATTTTCAATGTCAATACGTTCACATTGAATATTCTCAGTTTCATTCCATACCCAGTCTTTATTTTCTCCTTTTCCTTTACCAATTGCCCCACAAAACATTTTTAGAGTAATTTTTATAAATTCATTTAAATCTGGTTTCTCAATTAATTTATGTAAAGAGTCAACAGCATACTTTCTCCAACTTTCATCTATAATAACAGAATATCTTCCTATTTCTATTGTTTCAACCAACTTTGCCCATATCTTTTCGGTTGAACCAATTCTCTTCAATACTTTAGCAGATTTTCCCAATAAGCTCAATGCTTTTCTTGGATTTTCTTCTGAGTAACTGGCAATTGTTCTTGAAATGCAGTCAATTTCTTCTGGTCCTAAAATTCCATTAATACTTTTTGAAATATCTAATGCTGTCATAAAGTATGGTAATGAACTTTTATAGTCTTCTTCTTCACAATAAGTTACTCCAATGTTATATAATGTACACATTAATTCATGTTTCATTAATGAACTTTTAAACTCTTTTGTTTTAGTCTTCCAAATAGCCTCAACTCCGATCCATTTAGCACTTTTATAAATACTAATTAAACTAGTCAGATATATTATAAGTGCATTTAATAATTGTTTAGTTGGTTGTTGTCTCAATGTAGCATTTCGTTGTTCAGTTAATTTACTAATTAAACTAATATAACTATTTGGTATTTCATATTTTTTTTGGATATGTCTAGAAATATCAAAACACTCAGTTACTAACCTATTAAATTTGATTTTAATTTGTGGTTTGACTGTCATTTGTTACAATTTAATTTTTTTGAGTTCTTTTCAAAGTAATAAAAGTATATTCATTAAAGAAAATGGAAAAACCAGGATATTTCCTTTTAACATTTAATTTTTTTTTTCTTTATGTTACCCACATTTTCTATCCACAATCCCTATTCCATTCTCTTCATAATCCTTTTTTGTAACCCATATATTTTGAATAGATCTGGTGTCAGCAATCATTGCTCCTCCTCTCCACGCTGCATATCTTTGGAGTGTTGGTGTTTGTCCCTTAATAATCTCACAAGAAAATGAAGGGAAATAAGTATGCATTGTATTTATAACTTTTTCTCCAAGGTTTGGGACTAAAGAAGTACCACCAGCTAGTATTAATCTATTTGATACTTCCATGATGACGTCATAGTCACATTTCATTAAAGACTTTAACACAGTATTATCTACACCAATATTACTTTCATCTATCTATGAATGAGCACTTTTGCATTATCAATTAAGATAACAACAAACTACTAAAGGAAATAACAACTCTCTACAATAACTATTTATATCAAATTGATTAAATGTATTGGGAGTTTCTTTCAATTGGTCAATAAATGAATCTCTTGCAAGATTAATATAACTCAGAGATGAATGTTCTGGTGGATTTGGAATAATGTTAATATTCTCTCTCTCCATTCTATTTACTATTTGTTGTGATAAGAAAATACCTGCGTGATTAAGTTGAGTTATTGAGTTTTCAAGAACATACCCTGAAAAAACTACAGAACACCAACAAGAAATATTCCCACATTCTAAAACTAATCCATTTGTTTGTCCATATGATAATGCAACTAAAACAGGAGATGGAGATGAATAAATTTTATCAATACCAAAACGTTCAAATAATAATTCATATGACTCATTTCCCATAATTCTTGGATGATCATTTGACTTAACCCATACAACAGAATCACTGTTATATATTTTAAATACCTCTTCTAATGTCGAAATAAAAGCCTCTTTATTTAATTCTCCATTTAATATACATGGTTCATAATCTTTCATGCATTGTTTTGAATTTAAAAAACTTGAATTAATATATTTGTTTTCTTGTTTATAACAGAAAGGAGACATTCTTAATGATGGGAGTTCCTCATTTGATAATCCTGCTTTGATTTCTTTTGTCCCTACATCTAATATAATCGTCATCCTTTTATATTTTTAAGTTCATACAGATTTTTCAGATGGCTTTATTGTGGGAAGAAAACACCTCTCTTTCTTCTCAAAGTTTAAGTCAATCATTAGACGAGATGATAACAGTGGAAGAAAAAACTATTGAAGAAATAGTACTATTTCTTTCCTCTCATAGTGTTTATCAACATTTCATGATGCTTGTTTCTTCATTGGATAAGTCTCAAAATTGGTCAGAAGAACAAATATATAAAATACAAGAAATATCTGTAAGATTTTTTAAAGAACGTCAAAATTGGTGCAGTGAATTACTCAAAAGTTGTCAACCAAAAGTCATTAATAAAATTCTTTCTATTGCAATGAAAATTAATAATCGACTCAACGGGTATTGTGATGATTTCTTTGATATTAATACATTCTATAGTTATGTATATTATCAAATCTTTTTCTCAAAAGGAATTAATTTAGAAAAACAAGTTGATGCATTAAAACAATTCAAAACTATTAGTCACATAGAAAAAGGAATAAAAACAGTTCTAAAACATAATGAAATTATTAATAAATATCAGATTCTTCTACACTATTTAGACAAATGTTCATTACAAATGAGAATAGATTATTTATCATTCATTTATCAAAAAATTCAATTCACTGAACAACAATTTGAATTAATGTTAAAGGAGTTATCTTATAAAAATTATCAAATTGATATCTCATTATATTATGATATATTTAATCAAGACCATATCACCATTAATCAATGTTACTTAATGCACTTGGCGCTTCAATTATGTCATTCTCCAAAAGCAATTCACTTAATTTCATTGATATTTTCACTTTATTCAAATAAAACTTATGCAACAACAATTTCTCCTTCTTCTCAATGGACTTTGACACAATACATCATTTATATTATTCGCTGTCTTCCATATTCAACAAAAACATCATTACTATCTAATGGAGTTAATTTAAGAATTTCTTCACCAGTTAAAAGAATACAAAAACTTGCATTAGTCTTAATAAATGAAATGGAAATAAGTAATAAAGAAAAAAGAACAGATTATCAATGGAATATCAACCTATCTATTGAAGCTGATGGTATTGAAGATATAAAAGAAAGTAATATTCCAATTGATGAGAATATTCTCTCTGGTGAGAATGAACAACTAGAAGATAAAAATATAATAAATAATGTCTCATCTCAAATTAAAGAATTAAATGAAAAAGAAACTTCTGAACGAAAAGTGAAAAAACCAAAACATGTTATTGAATGGTTAGAACTGTTTGATGACTTTACTAATAGAACATATGAAGAAGTAGAATTGACATTAAGTATTGGAGTAGAATTGATTAAGAAATCAAATAAATTTGTTGGGCCTTACTTAGAGGAGATTATAAGAAAGATATTAACTATTAAAAATATTTATCGAATAGAACAATTTGAAGAATGGCAAATTGCTATTTTATATGAAGTTGTTACCGATAAATCTATATATTGTAAAAAAAGAGGAAGTACTATTTTAATCGAAAAAATTTTAGTTGATAAAGATATTGTACTTAAAACAATGAAAAAATGTGGTTATTATCAGGATTGGATAGACCCTTTGAGAGAATATATTGTTCAATGGTGTTATGAAAATAAATTTGAATATAATATATGTCAAGCAATTGATTATCTCAAAGACTATGGCACTGCCAGTATTGTAAATGATTGGCTTATTCTCTATCAAAATTGTCGTTCAAATGATCGAGTAGTTCTTTCATTACTCTCAGGATTACTCCAAGTAATTTCTTTAATTTCTCCTGACATATTCATATGGAATTGTAGTGATCAAATCAACAAAGTGCTAAGTCAATTACAAGTTGATACAGTAAATCATCCAAACAAACAAATTAGAATGGCAGCAACTGTATTAATGGACCAAATTACTACTATAGTTAACACAGAAATAAAGTCTGAAACACAAAAAGAAATTTTATTGTTTTAATTGATAATTAACTTATTTACTTTTGTTTTATTCATTGAGCAACAATATAACAATCAGAACGTAGTCCATAAAATACTTTTGGTTTTAATAAATCATTTTGGGTAGTAAATTTCCATCCAATATGACTTTCACAAGATTTACATACAATAATTTGCCAAGCATAACCTTCAAACCATGAAAATTCATAAGATGGTTGTGTTTCAACTCTCAAATTAGAACAATGAATTGCTGTAGTTACAGTAAATGTAAATCCTGAAGGATTAACATGATTTGAACTAATCCCACTTGTTGAAATTGAGAAGATATTTTCAGTTGGACAAAATATTGTTTTAATATTAAATTCATTACAACATGCACACTTTAACTGAGTGGATTGAATACAATGAATACATATTTTAATTGCATCTTCTACTGTTTGTGCTCGTTCATATTGTAATTCATCCTTTATAGATAATGGAAGATGACTATGAACTGCTGTAAGAAATTCATTTGTGTCTTGAATTGATTCTAATTGTTCAGAAATTAAATCTCCTTCTATTTTTTTTATAAAGTCAATAATTTGTTTTTTAGAATGTTCAAGACAATGTAACTTCCAATATTGATAACCATAACATCCATTATTAACAATCATTGAATATAAATAATTTATGTCTTTCATATCTGGAATAATTTCTACTTTTCCAATTGGAATTATTGTTTCTCTTCTGTTGTTTGTAATTAGTTTACATCGTTTAATCCCTTTGAAAATAATTGCAATTGAACTTTCATGATCTTCATATTTAATTACATTTCCTATACATCCATAAACTTCTTTTAATTCACTCGTTTCAAAGCTGTGTTCATTAATAATACATGCACGTAATATACCATTAGAACTCCTTAATAGCTGTCTAAATGTTCCACACAATCCTCCTCGTAAAATAAATGGTGCTGTTGTCTCAGGCTGAAGAAATACATTCCCAATAATTAATGGAACAACTAATTGATGTTCTGTTAATTCCCCTTCATTCGGTGGGATATAGTTCTGGCTTAATAAATAGCTATAAGTTAATGGAGTTGTTTGGTAATTTCTTTCAGGCTCATTATCACTTTGGTTAATACTCTCATCTGATTCAACTTCTAGTTCACTCTCTTCAGTAGTATGTCTTATAATTTCTATCCTTTGTAACAGAATATCAAAAAAATCTTCTTCATCACTACTCTCATCATCAGATACTGGCTGATGGTCTTGACTGTTATTAAAGGATATATTGGAATTGTTATTATTCATATAAATCAATATATTTCTTAGTTTTGTTTTTAGTTTTGGCAGTAATAACAAAATTAATTTTTATGTTTTTATTTAAAAGAAATAGAACTTAAAATTCGCTCATTATTTTTCTTATGTTATTCCTTTTCATTGTATTTATCTCTTCAGTATTTGCTGGAAATGGTCTGAACGTCCAAAACCAATTACTTTTAATGCCATATCCAAACTCAGTATCATTTCAATGGAAGTCACCATTAGCCATTGCATTAACTTCTTCTATTCAGTTAAATGTGAAGTCAACTTGTAATACTGATTGTATGAACTTCCTTAAATCAAACTTCAATCATACCATTTCATTCCCTTTACAACAACAA